TCGTTACCGAGTAACTAATCTTGGCTGATATGCGAAAAGGATCTATTCGAATCTCATAAGTCGTATTATAAAAAAAAGTATCGGTAATCCCGACGGCTTTTGACTGCTTTGACAGATATACAAACCTTCTAATAACTGTTAGAAATGTCACGACATTACAGGCGACATTTTCCGATCCCGACTTGTTCCGACTTGCACTGGCTTGACGGAAAGCAAGAAAAGCTGTCGTGACACAAACAACGCAAACCAGTATTTAAAGCGGGGAGTTTTCGTCTAGGCTACAAAATGGTAAGTAAATCCTTTCTACCTAGACATTGTTTTTTCGCTAACAAAATTAAAATAATTTTTTATAAATAAAAAAAAAACAAAAAAGACTTTTGTTTATGTTTTACTTGTTATGCCACAAAAATATAATACGTGGTTTTACATTCCTCAGTTGAACAATCCTATCTCTATAAATTTATAGAAAAATGTCTTTATTATTATCGTTTCAACTGTGAATATTTTCGCGCTTCAATTTTTGTCGTCTGCTATCCTTATAATGGTCAATTCATTTGGCGTGTTTTCTAAAATGTTAATCTCGTCTTTCGATAGATTTATTTCCGAGAAAATACTTTTCAGTTGTTATTTACCCAACGCCAATTATTTTGGAAAAAAACGTTTCATTTTCAGACGATTTTTTTTTATTTGTTTGTGAAGACTAAAAAACTTAGGCACCTTGAAGTACCCGACCGGTGGCTAACACCTCTACCAGACGTATGAGTTGACAATTGAACTCGTTTCAAGCTCAGAAGGGCATAAAAAGAATCAAGATCGACGTGTAAATACGTCTGTAGCTGGTTTTGGAACGTTATGTTTTAGACATGTTTATTCATCTGTATCTGAAAAAAGGCGTATATAGACGTCTACGCCGGGGAAAGGGGTTAAAGCTTAAAGATAAAGTGGATTTCTTTTTCCTTTGTATACGTTTTGGGATTTGAGTAAAAACACTGTTCTTATAAAGAAAGTTAAAAAATATTATTACGCTACACTCCGGGTTTACAAACGTCTTTTAACAGGAAAGGAATTCTTTTATTTAACTTTTTCTGATCTTGTTTCTTGAATTTGAAAGGTAAAAAAAATAAATATTTAATTATATTGTGTATCTACAGGAACTAAATTAAAATTTTCCATGTATATATTCTTCTTTTATATCCTTTACTACAACTTGGCAGAGTTGGCAAACCTAGCTATACTTAAAGAATATTAGATAAAGCCTATACATGAGGGAGGATGAAAAACGTATCAGCCAAAACAACAAAGATGAGGATGTCCGTTTAATTATTACTAAGCAAAAAGATATCTGACTGAAACAATAATAATATAATTAATGCAATAATATATGTAATATGACCGAGTGGTTAGAATGTTCGCTTTCTAACCTTGAGAAGTCTGGTTCAAATCTCACCGAGGAGGGGGAAAAGTGCCTGAAGACCACACCACGGATTAACCCAAGTTGCGTGAGGGAAACTGTGTATACGTCGTTGATTTTGCAATCATGAAGTCACAAGTCATCGTGACTGAGGGTTTTAGCGTGCTGGCATTGTTAAAAAAATGGTCGCGTCAAATTATACGCTCTCTCCTAGAAACTGTAACCAAGGTCTGCTCAGAAGAGTTCTAGTGCGCAACTATGGATTAGGCTGAGTGTGGTTGATAGCCAAGGTTAGAGACCCCGCTATTTAACCCATATCTTAGAAAAGAATTGGTTTCATGCCTTTCCGAAGAGCATTTGTGTGAAAGTAAACGCAACACGTGGTGGGGATTTGAACTCTGATTTCATTTCCCGTGCCGGTACATGAAAAGATGTAAAACAAAATATGATCATTATATAGCAGTCAATGAGCTATAAAACCGTTATTTATGTATTAATTATAACAGTAGTCAATAATAATAATCAAAGCATTTCAAGGAAAGTGACTCCTTAATTGTCGACATCATTTATCCTAAATTTCCTGAAATTTATCGCAGAAATTATGGAAGATTTCCCCCAAGATTTTTCTCTGTATATGAATTAAATTAGTTTTAAATCAATACATGAAGGGGTTAAGATTTTAGTGATAGAGAAAGCATCCCCTCGGGAGTCTGTTGGACAAAGTAGCAGTTCTAGGGAAGAAGTTGTCCTAGTGGGACTTCTTTCTTACTAATGGAATACAAACGGCATGAGGAGGTTTCCTCGCAGTGTATATGGCGGGTCCCAGCCGTGACGTTTCGAACGGATGAAACTGAGGAATGTCGTTCGCAAGAGAAATTGCAATGTTTTAATAAAGTTCAGTTAATTCAAACATGAAGTTGGTTAGTTTTGTATTTTCTGTTACAAACGATCTTCGATTTTCTCATTTTAGTAATACCCTCCTCTCACAATCCTTAAATGTGGCAGAAACATCAGTTAACTGAACGAAATCAGTGCGGGTCTATAATAATATAAAACATTTATTCATCCCAAGCACTCATACAGACAAGCACTCATTCAGACACAACAACAAATACGAAAACACGCGAAACGAAAGGCACCCCGCATCCACCAAAGTACTGACATCACTGGCCACCTAACGAGGGAGGGGATGGGGAATTAAAATAGAAAAATATGGACAAAAATAGAAGAGGCCAATGAGCATACATTCCCTAGCTAAGTTAACTGGAAAAAGGAAACTAAAGATTCAAAACAACCCTAAACTAGCCTAATTTCGGGAGGGGTTGCCTAAGTTCAACTCAGGAAGAACCGGCATCAAAGCGCCACTCCAGGTAAGCCCCTTTCACTAAGGAGAAGAGCCCATCAGAACAATTGTCAAGAAAATATTTATAGAAAAGACAGAGAGGAGCCGCGTTATGTCGGTGGGAAAGTGACTGATGTCAGGTCAGGAGTTTCTCCATGAATATCAATTTGAAAATGAAAATTTATAATTGTTTCAGCTCTATTCATTTTTGTATTTTCGGCCATGAAAAGAAATATGGTTGCCTATTGCCCTGCAACCTGTAAGGCTGGCGTGTATAGTGGCCTTTATGTGAACAAAACAAATCATTTACAGTTTTTAAAAGTAGTAGCTCAGCAAGAAACGTTTGCCTGAAGGTTTGTCTAGGGAAGTGGGTGGCAGGTGCTTTGTGTGTGTGAGAATGCGAATAAGTGTGCATGTGTATGTGTGTCTGAGAGGGAGAGAGAGGGAGAGAGAGAGAGTGAGTGAGTGAGTGAGTGAGTGAGTGAGTGAGTGAGAGTCAATTAATCTGCATAATGACAAATCCAGTTTACCGGTTTTCCTGCGGCTGTTATTCAATCTGTGAATTGCAATCAATCCTTCATCGTCGTCAAACGTGGACAATTTTTTTCAGATCAAATCAACGGGACGTTTATTCCAATAAACTTCTTCTTCTTCTTCTTCTTCTTCTTATTATTATTATTATTATTATTATTATTATTATTATTATTATTATTATTATTATTTTCTTTGATTTCTGGCGTTTACACATTTCTTTCCGGGTCCCGCCCAGGGACCTAAGGTTAGAAATGGCGTCATGACACTTTCCACTGACAAAAAAAAAAAAAAAAAAGAATTAAATTACGTAGATAAAGCTCTTCGTAAAGTGTGGACTGTACTTGTCAGAACAATTTTTTGTATCTCCTTGAGGCATGGACTTCCAGGAATCCCTTCAATTAGTCTACTGCAATCTTTTCCAACCAGTCCTAGGGCTCCAACTGCAACAGGGATTGTTGATGTTCCCATATGCCACATTTTCGAGATTTCTATTTCATTTCTATTATTATTATTATTATTAAAATTACTTTTTGACCTCTACTTGTTTCATAGTCACATAACCAATGACCTGGTATAAAATAAAGACAGTTATTGACAAAAAAAACCTTCAATGGACAAAGCTCTTCGCAGGTAATTGTCTGTCCTTGTTGGAACTATTTTTTATTTTTATTTTCTGAAGAGATGATGCACCAGGGATTTTGCTGATTTGTTCTTGAGTTCCTTTCTTTATCAGACCAAAAACCCCAACCACAATAAGAACATTTTTAGATTTTAAATGTCACATTTTTTCTTATTTCCATCTCCAGGTTTTTGTATTTACGTAGCTTTTCAAAAGCTTTCGGAGAGTTTTTTTTTTTTTTTTTTGGTCACTGGGTACTTAGTCAATCAGTGGGGGAACTTTTCTTCTGTCTTTGATAAGAATGTTTGGACGATTTGCTTGTATTGTTCGATCTGTGTTGATATAAAAAAAAATCCCAGAGGATGATAACATTTGCACCCTCAACTAAAGATTCAGGATGATGTTCATACGAGTTTGCAGTTGTTTTTATCTCGTAGTGATGACAGATCTGCCAATGCAGTTAATGACCTCACCTATCACGTTCTATAGGTGAAGAATCCTAGAAAGAAACTCAGAAAGAAGAACAGAAACAAGATCAGAGAGAAACACAGAAAGAAACACAGAAAGAAATCTAGAAATAATATCAGAAAGAATCCCAGAAAGGATCTCAGAAAGGAACGCATAAAGAATCCCAGTGTTAAGGGATCCACCCCTTTTTGATACAAGTGGACTCGTCCAGTGTGTACTTGTAACTGCTGCCGGTGAATACCCGGGAGTGGAAGACAGAAAGTGATACAGTGATACAGTGAGAGTGTGAGGTAACCGCTTTGTAGGAGTCACAGTTGCGAGCACGTAGACTCAGAAGGAAGTCCTACTTCGATACTGAATTTCCCAGACTGTATATATATTATTATTGCTACTAACCGCATTTCTGGATCTACTAACCGTATTAACAATTGTATTATTACGTCAATACATTTATTTGCTATATTTCATTCCTGCGTTTGTCATTCATTTGAGACTGGATTTCATCCCGGAATCCACAATACCTAGAAAGAATCCCAGAAAGACTCCCAGAAAGAAGTCCAGAAATAAATCCAGAAAGATATCTAGAAAAGTTCAGAAAGAAGTCCAAGTAGAATCCCAGAACGAACCCAGAAAGAAACCCAGAAAGAATTTAAGAAAGAAGCTGAAAAAGAAACACCGAAAGAACCCCAGTGTGAAACCAAGAAACAAACTGTGAAAGAAGCACAAGAAGAAACTCAGAATGAATCCCAGAATGAACGGATCGATTAAAAACATTAATAAAAATAAGGATAGAATTAAGAAACTGATCCAAAAGTATTATTTACAAATTGTGTAATAACGACAAAAACTTCATATTGGACAAAGATTAGGAAGTTGTGGATATCCATAATCGCCCACATCCTGAAAGGACACAGCACAGAGAGGAAGAAGCAGATACATTAAAAGACGTCTAGCTTTGAGACGTCCTGTCAAGAAATTACGCTAGTTTTAAAACTCCTTTAAAAATTCCGAATGTTCATTTTGAGGAGCTTATCGATTGCTGATTTAATTTTCTTTAACATTTTACAATGATCTTCAACCTGTAAAAGGCCGAAGAGCCACTTGAGGTAGAGAGGTACAGAGTAAGAGGCATCACCCCAAACAAGGTGATAATGCCACCAAAGATGTAAGGAGTCAACGGAAGTGAGACGAGAAGAAGAAAACTTTAGAGGGAACTGGAAAGCTAACTCTAAACACGAAACAAAGGATAAACCTCTACTCCTGTTCAATTAACCCGGGAGGAGTGTCAACTGGAAAAAAGACAAACCTATCTACTCCTTATGCCTAATTTCGATTTGTCTAGAATTATACGAAGACGTGCTAAAAAATTCTAGGCCCGACTAAGACATCTAAAAATATTCTGATGTTTGATCAATCAACCAGATTCTAGGAAGTGGCTCCCGCCGAAACTTTTCAGCGCCCCTTTGTAAAATAACAAGTCCTCTTGAGTTTTTCAATACTTGCTTTTTCTTCCACATCCCTCACTCCCACTCCCTTCTCCCTCTCTTTCTTTCTCAAGTCGCTTTTATTATTTATCTGCGTCTGAATTGTTTTAGTCTTCTGTCTTTTATCGGGCGACATCGGTTTGAACTTTGGAAATACGTGTACTAAAATAGGTAAGCATATTTGGAATTGTTCCATACATTTGGATGACGAATAAAAGTTGTTGCTCTAACAACAATTGCCTAACAGAGAAAAAAGGCGAATCATTTTGTACATCGGAATCATGACAACATCAATCATAATAACAAGGGCGCGGAAATGAGGCGATTATACAAAGTGAAATGAACTGTCCTTGAAAAAGAGAAACATTCAATTAATATGAGACAAACATTCTGACAGATTAGCCTATCGAGACGAAGAGACCAGGTAAAGTAGAAGAAGAAGAAGAAGAAGAAGAAGAAGAAGAAGAAGAAGAAGAAGAAAAGGAAAAGTAGAAGCAGAAGAAGAAAAGGTAAAGTAGAAGGAGAAGAAGAAAAGGAAAAGTAGAAGAAGAAGAAAAGGAAAAGTAGTAGTAGTAGAAGAAAAGGAAAAGTAGTAGTGGTAGTAGTAGTAGAAGAAGAAGAAGAAGAAGAAGAAGAAGAAGAAGAAGAAGAAGAAAGGGTAAAATAGAAGAAGAAAAAGAAACGTTATAGAAATTGGATGAGTCATTATTCTTTAACAGTCAGAAATGTACATATTACATGTGAATTTTAACTTGGAAGTTTTCAGATCACTTAAAACAAACAGCACGAACTTTCTTTTCCAGATATTTATCGGTGATAATACGGTCATGAAGTGAGGGGTGCTGATTAAACGATGACTTGAATAGTCATTACTTACATATCGTGACAGCTATTAGGGAGATGCGATTAATGTTTAAAAAAGATATTATTTAGTATTATTAAAGTTTAGGTAATAAGCATTATAACATAGCAAAAATAGCTATTTTGTGGAAAAAGGAATTTTCGACAATATACGCATTTTTTTTTTATTTATGGTTATTTTTTAAACTTTTATCAAAAACGACATTCTTGTACATGTAGTTATAGATAATAATATCGTACATTAATTACTAATTTTTTAATTAATAACTATTTGTGCTCAGTTGTTGACATTAATAGCTACCTGCTGATGTGTTAAAATTTTGGAATAATGCAATAATTTAAATTTCATCTCTTTGATTAATGTCGCCATGTTATTACGGATCAGAGTCAATTAGTATGAAAGTTTACATAAATGTACATATTACATGTAAATTTTAACATTGAAGTTTTCAGATCACTCAAAACAAACAGCACAAACTTTCTTTCTATCGTTGATAATACGGTCATGAAGTGAGGGGTGTTGATTAAATGATAACTTGAATAGTCAGTACTTACAGATCGCGATAGCTATTAGGGAGATGTGATTAAATATAATTTTATATTTAAAAAATAATTTATTCAGTATTATTATTGTTTAGGTAATAAACATTTATAACATAGCGCAAATAGCTATATTGTGGAAAAGGGAATTCCCCCTCACTTTAAAAACAAAAAAAAATATTGTCTGTTTGACTTTAATAATTCTTAATCAAAAATTAAAGATATTGATCATCCATTTTTTTTCTTTTTCTTTCTTGACGTAAAATGAAATTTCCAACACTTGTACTTAGTGACGAGTGGTGATTAAATATACTTTAATGTTTAAAGATTTATTCAGTATTATTATTGTTTAGGTAATAAGCATTATAGCATAGCACAAATAGCTATATTGGGGAACAAGGAATTTTCCACAATACACGCATTTTTTACGTATTTATGGTTACTTTTTAAAAACTTTTATCAAAAACAACATTCTTGTACATGTAATTATGGATAATAATATTATACATTAATTACTAATTTTTTTAATTAATAACTATTTGTGCTCAGTTGTTGACATTAATAGCTATCTGCTGATGTGTTAAAATTTTGGAATACTGCAATAATAAAAATTTAAATCTCATCTCTCTGATAGATGTCGTGATCTGTTAACATTTTATTCATTCCAATATTTCCTTAGTTACTCTCGACCAGTGTAAATGTGAAACGGCCTCCCAGAGACCTGGTTTGATGCGTGGACCTTACATTATCTGTCTGCGGTACGTGAGAGACTGCCCTGAGACTACCATCGGGGGTGGTTTACATATCCATCTGTTCAATATTCTTGTTCTCACGTTTGCGATACCTGATGCAGGTGGGAGGTCATGTACTCCTGCATTCGGTGGACAGGAATAACCCCTGGCTTCCTTTAACGGTCTGGTGGGAAATTTGTATGTAATTATTCCGACATCATGCTACAATACAAAAAATTTGTCTCAAGGCCTAAAAATAGGGAAAAGAGAGAGATGGTCATCTCCGTCGTATCATTTCACCTCAGCTAATCACAATCACTGACAGAATTGTTTCATACATTTTTTTTTAATCTTACATATTATAAAACGCAGATTGTGTGTCTGTGTGTGTGTGTGTGTGTACGTTTATATATTGGATCGGATTTCCTACATTTTTCAACCGATTTCAACAAAACTTCACAGAACTGCGTAAAATTACCTTGCAGTGGTCCTGACAGCGCCAAAAATTGGAAAAACTCTATTGTTTTGCACAAAATCAATTTGAAAACACGATAAAACACGATTCTGTCACCAGAATGAAAGGGGGACAACTCATATCGAGTTATACTTATTATAAAACCCAGGTTGTTTGTGTGTGTGTGTTCGTTTATATATGGGATCGGATTTCCTACATTTTTCAACCGATTTCAACAAAACTTCACTTTTTTGGCAGGTAGTGTTTCTTATTGTCTTGCACACTTTTTTCCTTTATTTTTACATTCAGAATGCTTTAAAAATTCCAATTGTTTATAATAAAATTTATTCAATTTATAAAGACAATTGTTTTTATAATAAAATAAATAAAAATATTCAATCGTGTCCTTCAACCTTAAACAATAATCTTTGTCAATTTTATTTTTCAGTCTTTATGATGGTCGATACTTGAACTATCTCTTACTGTTACATCCCCGGGCAACGCCGTGCTCTACTGCTAGTTTTAACTAAAACATCGCTTTTACACGTTTTATTCTTATTACAATCTCCATAATACCATAGTTACTCTATGAAGTCAGAACTAGTCTCATATTATTTTTGTGGAGAGGGAAACTTCTCAATTTAGCTTGATGACTTGAAATAATTCTGTTAGAAACCCTGGAAGTTAGGTTATCTGTTGCGGGTAAAGTTTTAATTACATTTTCTGCATTTTGATATTAACAATGTTTAATCTTGTTATACGCAAGAAAAAAACATAAAAAAAAACAGTGTGTCAAGAGGACAGTTATTTCCTGGACTCCGTTATTATTTTAAGTACCTTCATACCTCAGCGATGTTTATTGTTTTAAAAAGCGATGATTAGAATTGAAACAAGATCTAAACATATAAAAGTGAATTTATACATTTTCTTTGTTCTTGAGAATTGAAAACAAAACACAATCTATTAGATTATTTATTGAAATAGTTGGCAAAACATCATCTAATTGCCATTCGATTCGAACTTTATAAAATGGTAAATAGTAAGGATTTCATTATAGTTTGGTTCACATATTTTTATAATTTAGTAAATGGTTATAAACTTATGAATAAAATTGTTTTCGTATTTATTCCTTTATAAATTGATAAATGACAAAAATTCCATTGCATTTTAATACAATTGTATTAGTCTTTAGAATATTGTAAATATAAAACTATTCGTCAATAAACAATTTAAAAAAATAAATAGTGTTTGCTATTTTTTTCTATAAATTCTCAAAACAAAGAAAAATGCTTAAATTCATTTTCATTTTTTAAGCATTTCGCACCAAGCAAGGCGGGATTTCCACTGGTTCGCAAGGAGTTACATATAGTGAAGGTGAGAGAAAAATTGCATAGGGGGAATGAGGAAAGGATAAAAGATGATCGGGGTTCAAGGCATCGGAAGATATCGATTGACGTTGCATTTAAATTTTTGAAGATTGTAGTTATCTGGTATGCAAGTAAACGGAAGGAATTCCATAGGCGGGAAGTGCGAGAATAGAAGCTGTTGGAGTAGAAGTGGCGGTTACATTTAACTATTTCAACGGTCAAAAGGTGGGAGCCTAGATGCCAGTCTAGTAGCACGCTTAAATTTATGTAGTCGGGACACCAGGGAAACATAAACTCGATTGAACTGTTGCCATGAAAATATTTGTAGAAAAGACAG